AAAACTTATGTCCACACAAAGACCTGCACATGGATATTTATAGCAGTTTATCCATAATTGCTAAAATATGGAAGCAACTAAGATATCCTTCAGTAGGTGAATGGGTAAATAAACTGTAGTAAATGTATACAATGCAATATTATTCAGTGCTAAAAAGAAATGAACTATCAAGTTTTGAAAAGATAAGGAGGAAACTTAAATGCATATTACTAAGTGAAAGAAGCCAATCTTAAAAGGCTATATACTGTATGATTCTGACTATGTGACATTTTGGAAAAGACAAACTATGCAGACAGTAAAAAAATCACTGGATGCCAAGGGTTGGGGGAGGGACGGATGAGTAGGCTGAACTCAAGACTATATAGAGCAGTGAAACTACTCTGATACTATAGTGGTGGATACATGTCATTAAACATTGATCAAAACCCATAGAATGGACACCACCAAGAGTGAATTCTGATGTAAACTTTGAATTTTGGGTGACAATGATATGGGTTCATTGATACCACTCTGATGGGGGATATTGATAGTGGGAAGGCTGTGCATGGCTGGGACTGGGAATATGCAGTAACTTTATGTAATTTCTTCTCAGTTTTGCTATAAACTTAAAAACAGACATTTAGTGCTTACAATTTTTATGTATTTATAAATATTTTATTTCTAAGAAAAAGGCTATTTTAAAAAAGCAGACAGAAAAGACAGATTACCTACAAAGAAATATACTGATATCTGATTTCATATAAATAACAATGGGAGCCAGAGACAGTGAATGATATCTTAAATTGTTGAAAGAAAACTATTATCAACCTAGAATTCTACATCCAGTGAAAATACTGTCCAGAAATAAGGATTAAATATAGACATTTCAGTCAAAACAATAAACTAGATTGTTTGCCTTGCCACTAGTCAACTTCCACTAAAGGGAATTTGAAAGGATATACTTTGGGCAGAATGAAAGTGATTTGAGATGGAAAGTCTAGAAGTAAGAAGAAAGGAAGATCAGAAAAAATGGTAAAAAGTGTTTGCAGGAATGATCACACTTATTTCTCTCTTGTTATCCACACCCCTTTGCAATGTGATTTTGCAGTTCCTTTTTACTATGTTTCCCCACCCTTTGAATTTGGGCTTGGCTCAATTCATGCCCAAACCAATGGGGTGTAGCAGAAATGATGCTGTGCTTATTGTAAATGTCCATTTATTATCTTGGCCCCCTGAACTGTCATGTTAACAATCCCAGGCTAGCCTGATATAAGATGTGAAAAACCACATAGAAGAGCTGATCTAGACCACTATAGATTTATTCAGCTCCCAGCTGATTGACCACCTGACAGCCCAAACTTAGATGCAGTCTCTGCTGAGATCAGCTTAAATTGGCCTAGACCAGAAAAACTGCCCAGCTTACTCACAGTCTCATGAAAAATAATACATGGTTATTATTCTAAGCCACCGAGTTTTGAGGTGATTTGTTATTCAGTTAGGAGCACTGAGAACTAGCAATATATAATAATGTATAAACCAATATTATTTTGTGAGTTAAAAAAATAAGAGAAATAAAATATGCAACAATAAATAGCATATGACTAGAATTGTTCTAAGGTTAAAAAAATTATGCTTATTTTTCTCATATAATAAGAACTACAGGGGTAATAATTTCAGAGCTAGTGTAGCTGCTCAAATAATTTATCGAGAACCCAGACTCCCCCCATTTCTCTCTCTACTCTTCCTATTTATGGCCATCATCCTCATGTTCACAATATGGCTGCTGTACCTCCCGGTATTGCAACCGTGTTCCAAGCAAAAAGGTGATAATGTGATGAATTTATCTCCTCTTTATGGGCAAAATAATGCCTTTCCCAGAAGCTCTACCTGGTAGTCTTCTGCTTATATTTCACCAGCCAGAACTTTGAGAAATTGAGATTTCTAGCTACTAACTGCTTTCCCAAAAGAAATGAGATTATTTTATAAAGTGAATGTAGGGTTAATCAACTAGCAGTCTCTGCTATTTGGCAGGAAACATCTTAAGGAAATAATCCAAAAGGAAAAGCAAACAATGTACTAGGCATAAAAACTGAGAATTAGCACTGTGCAGGGGACAAGGCATTAGAGTGAGGGTCTCCTAGTCCTGGCTCTGCAGCTGACTTGCTGGGGGAATGGTTCTCAGTTTCCCTTTAAATCAAGATGTCAGAGTAAATAACCTTAAGCCTTTTTAAGAGCCTATAGAGCCTGTGAAGGGAATTAACATTTGTGATAGAGTCTCCATGCAATCGCTCATTTACATCTTACAACAAATATATGAGTCAGTGTCATTATTCCATTTTATACTGAGGCTGGAAATCTCAGACAGATCAAGTACCACATCTAGTAAATGACAGAGCCAGAATTCCAACTGGGGTCTGTAGGCCTCCAAAGGGTCTGTAGGCAGAGGATTCTTTCCATGGATGGCCCTCCTTTTCTCAAAAGGTAAAATAAGTGCATTCATTGTCATTTATTGAATTATTAGTCATACTTTCTAAACCACTGTTTTTCAAAATGTGGCCTAGGGACGACTGTAACAGAATTACCTGAGGATGTTTATTACAAATGCAGACTCCTGGACCTCCTTCAGATGAATTGAAGCTGACCTTATAAGGTGGATACCCAGAAATTTGTGTTTTTAAAACCTCTTTAGGTAATTTGGAGACATTTTAAAGTTTGAAAATGACTTTAAACTTTTAAATTATTCTTCCATTGTAATATAGTTCATTTGTGGATCCATGACTCATGGAAATTTCCTCTTAATATAAGGAAAACAAAATATAAAAATAGTCTGTTTCTCCTTCTTGTTCCTCAGTTTCTTAATGAACACACTCAATTCCTTGGAAATTGTTAAGGAACTGGAAATATGTCATAGAAGATATCCTAACACTGATTAACTGTAAGGCAAAGGCAGGGATTAACATGAACATGAATGCTGATTGAATCATATAGAGCTAGAAGGGGATGGGCAAAGGAAGCAGCATTAAGTAAATACTATGTTCCAGACACATGACATCATTTAAGGGGCCTGGGACATGTGACTCAATCCCTTTGATTTATTAAAGGGCTAAGTAGTAGTATATTTCCATTTTAGAGATGAAGAACCTAATGAGGAGAGAACAGTCATTCATCTGAGGTGATCATTCATTCATTAATAAATAAATAAATAAATAAATAAATAAATAAATAAATAAATAAATAAATGTTTATTGAGCTCTTATGCAAGACACTGAGAAAAGAGCCTTGAAAAAGCAGTCTGGAGATCTCAGTTGCCACAGGCCCTGACTTACTCACCAAGTCTCCATTGATGAAACAGGAACCAAGGGAGCAGATTGGGACTGGCGCCTGCCAGAAGCAGTGTTCTGGGCTTGGTCTGTCTGCTGCAGGGAGCAAGAGGAGAATTTGTCACTGATGGTCTCCAGCAGCCCAGAGAGCAGTCTATGGCCTTGGTTTTTAGCAGTTGCTGCATTCCTGGTCAGGTGTTTCCGAGTAAAGCAGGTCCTTACCTGTCCAGAGAAGAGGATCAGGTGAAGGGGAGAAGGGGAGTTCCCAAATCTTATCATATTCTCTCATATGTAGGTGTTTAACCTTGAGAAGCACTTATTTCCATTTTATAGATGAAGAAACGAAAGTTCAAAAAGATTAACTGACTTGATCAAGCAGGTGTCCCATTCAGAAGCGGAATCTGGCAGGTGTCAGGTCCCAGCTCCTACACCCTCGCCACGCCCCTTTACAGCTCGCGAGGGGTCTTCACAGACACGTAAAATGCTCACTCAAGTAATTTTCTAGAGGCTGGTTCAGATTCCTACTACCAAGGTTTATTTGATTCCAAGTTCAAATCACATGGAAAATAAAATTTTCTCCTTAAAAGGTGCTGTGGAAAAAATGTTTTCTGTTCTATGTAACAGCCTCCTCGGCTGTGTTTGTGTCTGAAGACTAGTCTGACAGGAAGAATTACAAATCTGGAGCTCATTTTGGCGTCCCAGAGGGAAGGTGGGTGGAGCGTCTCACAGTAAATTAGGAATTCAGAATGAAAACGGAGCCGAGTTTATTTGGATTTCTAGTGACACCTCAGAATTATTGTGCAGGCGTGTCAGAGGCAGCTCAAAGTAATGACTGCTGTCACACCGCCCTCGTGGTGATACGTGCTAAGAAGGGAATCCCCCTTCTTTGGGTTTGGGGGCTAGGGTGGAGAACCTTCCCTTTCCCACCCGCATCTGGAAGGGGTAAGAGAAGAGTGTGGTTTGCCTTTTGGGTCTGCCCTGAGTTCCACAGGGTAGCGGGAGGATATTCGGGGGTGTGTCTGAGCTCAGGATCTGAGGTCTGAGGCTGCGATCTGAGGCCAGGATTTGGGGACTTTCTGGGCCTGGAATTTGGTGGGAAGGTAGGCAACGGGAGATGCGGGAGGAAACGGGAGACTGTGCCGTATATGAAGGGCACTGAGGAAGGATTTGGGGAGGTTGTTGAAAGTTGAGGCGTGAATCTGGGGAGGGGAAGTTGAAGCCTGCCTGACGATACTGAGGTCTGGGTGAATGTGTTGGGGTCTGGTGGTGCAGGGCTATGGACAGGGGTCGGGGTGGGATTTGGCGTCAGTACCATATCTTAGGTATCTAGAGGCGGCTGCTAGAAGGGCTCCGAGCGGTCACAGCCTTTTTCCGAAAGCGACTCTTACCCAGACACTCCCATCATTCAGTCCTCGCCTTCCGGGACGGGAGGCTCTGCAGGGCTTGGGGAGCTAGACCCTGCCCCCACCCAACCTCTTCAGCGGAGACTGGCTCTGGCTGGGGCAGGGGTTTGGCTGCAAGGCCCCGGAGGTGGGGCTGGGGGCGTGGCCAGCGGCCGGGCGCCTGCGGCTCCGGATTGGCTCTCCAGCGGGTCGGCGGGCGGGGCTCGAGGCTGGGTCCCGCTCGGTCGCCAGCAGACGACCGGGAGGCGGGGCCGGCGGGAGCCCAGCAGCCAATGGACGCGCGGCCCCCGAGCAGTTACAAAGGGCCGGAGCGAGGCCGCCGCGGCGGCTGGGGAGGTGGGGCGAGGCAAGGTTTGTAGAGGCGAGGCGGCGGCCGGGCCGGGCCGCAAGCGGTGGCGGCGGGACCATGGAGGCGGCGCCCGCTGCTCCGCGTCCCGGGCTGCTCCTCCTCGTGCTGGCCGCTGCGGCGACGCTGGTCCCGGGGACGACGGGTGAGTGGCGGCGGGGCTGGCGGGCGGCTGCGGGGCGCGCGGGCCGGGCCCGGCCTCTGGCTCGCTCCTTCTTTCTCAAACATGGCGCGGGCCCGGGGGCGCAGGTGGCGGCGCCGGGGCCCGGGCTGGGCTTTCTGACCAGGCAGCCGCCACGCGAGCCGCGGGCGCGGAGCGGAGGCGGGACGGAGGCGTGTGTTCGAATGTGAGTGGACGTGCCCGGCAGCCGGCGGTCGCCCCCGCTCCGGGCTCCCCTGCAAGGTGGCGTCGGGCGGAGCCGTCCGAGGTCCAGGGCGGCCCTCTGGGGAGCGAGAGGCGCGGGTCGAGGGGCGGAGGGCGTGAGGCTGGCCGGGACTAGTAGAGCTGGGGCTGCTACCCGCCGCGCGCCGGGGTGCTGTGTGGCGTGGTCCCCGGCACCCCACGCAGAGTGGGCTGCTGCGCGAGGCTCCCGGGGCCCCGGGCGGGGTTTGGGTTGAAGGCGGCTTTCGGAGCGGGCTTGAGCTCGGCGCCTCCAGGGCTTCCCCGAGCGCAGGAGGGGGCAACGTGTGGTTGAGACCCCCGGGTCGGCAGGGCAGCCCAGGCTTTCGGCGCCTCCGACCCAGTCCTTTGAAAGGGGCTGCTTCCCCAGCCGGCGGTCTCTTTGGACGGGGAGCCGCCGCGAAGCTTTGTGTGAGAAGGAGGCACCAAGATGCGCGGCATGTTTTCTTCTTTCGTGCGTCTGGTAAGTGCTGGAAAAGAATCCAGTAACAGAAGGCTACAGATTGTTTTCGTAGTAGAAACTTGAACGTTTGCTCACTGCAGGGTTTGGAATGTTTGAATGGAAATGACTCCGAATTGATGAAACGCTTTTATTTCCTCGAAGGAACTTTGCTAGTGATGTTCCTTTTCTTGAGTGACAGTAGTTTGAATCTGTCATCTGTGTAGTTGGTTTTCAAGGGAGAATGTTGGCTCCATTTTCCAAAATATTTAATCAGGGTGGGGTACATGGTCATCACCCACCCTCATGAAAGGAAGAGTGAAAAACTTAGCTAGCATCCAAAATAAAGGACTGGAAACTGAACTATAGAGCCTTAGTGTTAGCAGCTGAAAATAGAGTACATTTCTGTTTCTGAAATTTAATACCAGTTTAAAGAAACAAAAAACTCAAGACTGAGGGTGCCAATTATTACTAATAGCCCCTGTTTGTTAAGAGTTTACTATGATACAGATGTATGAAGTACACCAAAGTACATTATCTAACCCTCAGGGCTAGTGTCATTGGCCCGTTTTATAGATGAGGAAACTGAGGTGCGGAGAGATTTAAGAACACCCTTACTAATAACTGGAATTAGGATTTGCACCCAGAGTTCAGTGTTTCCAAAACCTACACATCTTATCATATGCACCTAACTGTCCCAAATAGCTCATTTTTCTTTTTCTGTCCTCTAACGATTAGTTGATCTTTATTATTCACTTTTAGATTTGGCCCTCACAATTTGAAAATCAAGTTGGCTTTGTTCTGACTCCTAGTAGATTCCTGAAGTCCCTTTACACTGAGCCTACGTTAGAAGAAACAGTGATTGGGTTAAAGAGGGGGCAGGCTAAATATATGGACAGGTGGGAGAATCAATATAGTTATGCATACAGCATAAGTAACATTTCCACACGACTATAACTATTTTCCGCCTAGTCTAGCACAGGAAGGGTTCATGTATTCAAGTAACAATATTGGACTTAATTGATTTACAGAACATTGCTCAGTCCATGCCCTCAAGCTTTTGCAGGCTACACTGGCATGCATGAATTACAAAGCTAATTACTCTAAGTCTAGACTTCTTCAATTGGCCTGCCTGCCCTCTTGGTTATGTTGATGATTCAGTCAGTCTTTTCAGACATTCTGAAAAAGCTAGAACGCTTTTTAAAAATTTATAATTTGTCTTGGTGTCAATTTTTTATTTCTGTCCTCAACTTCTCTCTCCATCATACATTTCTCTAGGGAAATTGGTCCCCCCGTCCCCATATGAGTCTTCTGTGTGCTTCCTTTCTGCTGTTTCATAACTTTGAAAACATGCCTAAAACCCAACTCTTTATATTAATGCCTCATGAATGTCTCTGTACCTTTCTTTGCAGCCATCAGTTTAGTCCTGTTATCCCTCAAATGTAGTTTCCAGTGCTTCTGTCTTCTAGGCTTTTCTGTAGGCTACACCAAACTAAGCTTTCAGCCATACCCACAAAGGTTTACAAGATTTCCCATTGTATTCAGCACTCAGAGTGGCACTTCACCCTTATGATTAGGGCAGTAACAGAGTATGCAGGCAGAGATCTCACTTCTCACCACTGCAGACCCTCACTTCCAGCGATTTCTTTTCCCCCGTCTCTTGACTTTGAGCCTTTTTGCTACATAATTTTGTCCCTTTTGGAGAGAGAAGTTCTCAGTCCTGACTTCCTGTGTACTGGTTTAGTTCCTGAACTCTGTATAGCACTTACAGTTTGTGTTGTCTGTTTCTACCGTCTTGCTCTGTTATTTAACTATTCTCTTGAACGTGTTTTAGGAACCCAGAGGAAACTTCTTGCCCTCAGAACCTAGCACTGTGTTTTATATTCTGTTCCACTTAAATGCTTGCTAATTAAATGAATTACATTTGAGTGAACATTCCCTTAGTGTTTATACCATTATATATAAGTATAGTTTATGCAATATTAAATGATTTTTCTGTGTATATAGTCAGGAAAAATTGGATGATGTGGTAAAAGAAGCAGTTGGTTATTAGGTTTGATTATTAGTCCCAACTTCACCACTAGCGATGCAGAAAACTTCATCTCTAGTTAGGAAGAAAATGAGACTAACCTACTTTTCCTAATTCATGAGATCTTGAAGGTCAAATGAGGAACTTGTTTTGGAGTTTGAGGTTGCTATTTTGTATTGGTAATAGTAGGTAGGACTGATGTTCAGCCAGCAAGTCTCACTGGGCCAAATGTGTTTTGATTGGTCAGACATCCTTCTGATTGATTACCACCATTGTGGTGCCACTTGTTAAATATTTTTTTAATATTGCCCCTGCAGAGAGGCATCCATCAAAGAGGGAAATGATTAATGTAGGCTGAAGTGATTGGGGAGGCTTCGTGGATACTTCAGGACTTTATCTTTGAAGGGTGGCTAGAATTCAGATGGGCAGAGAGAGGGGATTTGATGAGTGTTATGCTTTTTGTTAGCTGTGTTCCCCCAGTTGTCCTGAGTTCTACTCCAAAGTAGAAACTAAAGCTTTTATTGACTGGCTGGCAAGTTACTCCTTAGGGTTGTGTTCTTTGTATTGTGTGGTTTAGATGTATTAACTGCTGTTATTTTCTAAGTGCTGAATTCTAAAAACTCCGTAATATGTGACTGGAAACAAAATAGAAAGGTAATCTAAGTGGGACGAGTGAGGGAGATAATACTGTGATGGGCCCGCCAGGGGTAGGCATTCCAGTGGTGGAAGCCATAAGTCACTGCAGTTTACAGATGGGAAACCACAGCTCAGGTTAAGTGAATCCCTCAGGGTCCAGCAGAATCAAGACAGGAACTTTGATTTTCTGATTCCAGGTCTTGCACCCTTTGTGGCACTTCAAAATGTGAAGGACTGGGAGTGGGGGAGGAATAGGGTTAATGGAGTGACTTACCTCAGGGAAGTCTTGACTTTCACAGAACTTAAGAAAGGTGACTTCTAAAGGTAAAAGGGAAGGGGAATGGTTATAGGTTATTGAGTCCTCAAGAGAAAGGGAGTATCTGCTGATGAAAGGATCTGGCATAGTGCTTGTTAATTGAGCAAAGTAGGCTTCACGTAGTTTGGAAGATTGTGAAACAGTCTGGGTTTTACAGACATGGAATGTAGTTGAAAGGCCTTGCGAGTACGTGGTTAGGTGTAGAATTCTCGGTGATCTGCTTTGTTGTTGAAATTAAATGGGGAAGTGACGTGATGAAGAATCAAGAAGATAAATATTGTTTCTGTGGGGAGGGCCACTCATGTGGAAACTTCTGTTGGAAGGCTTTTCTAGGCCTGGCTGAAACCGTTACCTGAATGAACACAGTTCTTGTAGTGTCGTATTGCATCAGTTGTATTCAAGTCTAATGAAACAGGTTTTGAAAATGCCATTGTCTCATCGGTAGTACTCTTGATGTGAGAACATGTGTCTTCAAGTCACTGAGCCACTGGCATATGTGGACAACCTGTGTGCCCTTGCCTGCTCTTTCTTGATCAGGGCTTACAGAAAGCAAGTTCTCTGCATAGATGGACTGTGGTTTAACATCATATGACTGAGTCACATCTTCACTTTCTGCTTCTGGAATTGAGGGCAGATGCAGCATTTTTCTTGGGAATTTTCATGCTTTATCCCATAGAATTGGCTTGAAAAGACTTGGAATCTTCTCAAAATTTATTGTCTATCTTGACCCAGCCTAACTCCATTACCAAGGATAATTATTTAATGCTTTTCTTAACTGAATTTTCTCAATATCAAGTATAAGCAGTCTCCATAAACAGTAAAATTTGCTGCTACTCCAAATTAGATCCAGTTTCAGCTGTATGGTTTTGGTCCAGATAATGCAGGTGGGTTTCTTATAGTTACCTTTTTTTTTTATATGAACTCATGACAGGTTGAGTTGTAGGTTTTTTTCTTAGACAAATAGTTTCTCAAACACTACTGCAGTACTAAGTCTGATTGGTTTTATGGATCCAGTTTTACAGATCATATCTGGCCTTCTGAAAAGCTGCTCCCTCATTTTGGCAGTTGGAGAGCAATACATGTTATAAAGAAAGATTTCAACCTTTAAAGAAAAAATATGACTTGCTGTGTACACACGGGTTGTTTTGACATTTTTCGAAGGTTCAGTGGTCCTTGCACCATTTTATCAGTCTTAAAGTAATATAAGAATGTGCCAGGCATTCTTCCTGCCTTGTCTCCTTTAATTCTCATAACCAACCCTGGATGGTAGTTGTGTAATAGTTGTGTATAATAGTAGTTGTGTAAGCTTCTTGTTTATGTACCAG